CAGGCCCAGGTGTATTCTGTCGGCAGCAGGTAATCCGTAAAGAGCGTGGAAACCCAGTTATCTTTATGACCTGTCCTGAGCTTATTTGCCGTGTTCTGTTCTAGGCTCTGGCGGTAAACAGGTGCCGGCATCAAACCAGGTGCTGGCAGAGTGAGCCGTGGCTGGAGAGTCAACGCTTACACCTGCAGCACCTGTGTGAGCCGTGGCTGGAGAGTCAACGCTTACACCTGCAGCACCTGTGTGAGCCGTGGCTGGAGAGTCAACGCTTACACCTGCAACACCTGTGTGGTCGTTGCTTCCAGTTGATGATGTCAGCAGCTTCCGGCAGACCCATGTATTCACGGTGATACTTTCGTGATCATTGATGGGCGGTCACAGAATGGGAGAGGCAAGAAGCGAAGAGAATAGAACACACAAGATCGGACTGTCATGTTGAGGCTATGCCTCCTGTTAAGTTGGTTGGGGGGGGGGGGGCACTTAGAGAAGACGTTTAGAGGAACCGGGACTCAGTACCCCTAACCCTTTTTTTTTTTAGGGATGGGATCTTAGGGCCGTAGGCCTTAGGTCTTCTGCTATAGGGGCTGTACCTCTGGTACACATGACTTATCAGGAGTCTTGTGTGAAGTCAGCCAGGTCATCACTGTTCTAGACAACCAACAGGTAAACACACGACACTCTGGTCACATCAGCGTTAGCACGGACTTCCTGGAAATATAAGAGTAACACAGAAATAAACAATAAAAGTGTGACAGGGCGAGTAGTTGCCGTGTGGACAGAATCACTCAACTATAAAAACCTATCTTATCAAGACCAGAAATATAATGTGTGGACAGAATCACTCAACTATAAAAACCTATCTTATCAAGACCAGAAATATGCTGTGTGGACGAGATCATATCAACACCATAAATAAATACTTTTACTTCGTTTCTTCTTTCTTTCTTGATGTTGTGTTTGTTGGGTAAGGATCCATAGCTTTGGCCACACAAATGCTGTCCCCATAACAGTATATCCCTCTTTCCCTTCCCTCGTCTTCTGCCTTCTGTTCCCCGATGGAGCATAGACCCTCAACCAACGCTACCAAGTCAGTTACTTCCAGCTCTGTCCATGTCCTCCCCATCTTTTTAATTCACTGTCTAGCTTCCTTCTCCATGTGTTCGGTTTTGTTTTTGGTCTGCCTTTATTTCTTTGCCCCATAGGTTCTAGTGCAAAGAGATTCCAGTTATATTGTTCTCAGGTTTTCTCAGCGTAGGTCCTATCCAATGGCAGTATCTTTTCCTCACCTCTTGGTCCACTGGAAGTTGTTTAGCTCTGTCCAAAGGCTCACCATGAGCGATTCTATCTCTCTTGTTTGACTACTGTCTGATGAATGTCTATGTACACTGACTGGATCTCTTGGCATTGGTTTGTTTCAGATGCAGCAGATTCTCTATCAGAACTACAAGGAAGCTGCAGGGTCATTCAAAAACACACTGAAGAGCAAGGAGGTCCAGGAAGCCGTGTCGCTACACCCGGTCAAGGAGCCAGACTACCAGTACCACATCGCCAACTACCTACAGTCTGTGAAGATAATGTTGCAACATCAACGGGAGGTGCAACTCCATCGCGACTTTGCTGCTATGACTGAACTGATTCAGGATGGCAGGTTACCTTTGGAGCCAGGTTTGAGCCAGCCGACATCATTGACCAAGTTTCATCCACTCAGTGGCAGAGAAGTCATTCCTTGGGAGTTCGTGGCCAGGTCCGTCTACTCTCAGTTCGACAACAACCCTCGTCATAGCCTTGACGAATCAGTGAAAGGTGCCTTAGACGAGTTAGTGAGCCAGATTTTGATGAAGATCAACACAAATGCTCATCTCCGAGGCAGAACTATAGATTTTAAGGAGATTCAGTACGCCTACCAACGGCTTGACCCTCTCAATGGGGCCGATTATATTCTAGACCTGCTTCTGATTTATCGCAAGTACAGCGGCAAGAAAATGTCCATGAATGTCAGGAGGCACGCTTACCTTCAGCGGGTGTTCTTGCCTGTGGAGATGAAGGAGCAGTTTGCCGTTGTTGAGACAGGGTATCAGGGAGTGCGGGAGAAAGTGAAGTCTCTCATTGATATCTTTGTAGGCAAGTTTATATCTGTAGCCGGCTACACCAAGAGGACAGAACACATAGATATCATCATGCCTCTGATGGGCCGGTTTCAAATATTTCAAAGGTTCATGAACAATATTGAAAATGCCATTCTTAAGCCAAAAGCAGACGCCAGACTTGTTTTAGTTCTGTACAAAGCCAAGGGTGATTCTTTGGATCACAAGCTGACCCTCGACCTTGTTCAGCATTTGCAGCTGAAGTATGGGAGAGAATACATTGAAGTTGTACAAACAAATTCCGAGTTCTCTAGAGGTCCTGCCTTACAGCTTGGGGCTGAACATTGCAGTCCTGAAGCTTTGCTGTTCTTCATCGATGTTGACATTATATTCACAGCTGCATCTTTAGAGAGAGTTCGCCTCAACACGCTCAGAGGTTCTCAAGTTTACTTTCCTATTGTGTTTAGTCAGTATGATCCGCAGCCAGTTTGCTTGCCTGGCTCCCCTCACTGCGTCTGCCAGGACTCAGAATGTATCCTCAAGGAGGGAGATGTCAGCGATGACGCTGGCTACTGGAGACAGTTCGGCTTCGGCATTGCTGCCATGTACCGCAGCGACTACCACAAAGTTGGAGGCTTTGACCTGAGCATCCGTGGCTGGGGTAAAGAAGATGTGGACTTGTACACCAAGTTTTTAGAGAACAACTTTGTTGTATTCCGAGCCGTGGACCCAGGCATGACCCACATCTTCCACACCATCCAGTGCAGCGAATCTCTGGAGAGTTCTCAGCTCACCATGTGTGTCAACTCCAAAGCCCAGAGCTACGCCTCCACATCTCTGCTGGCCAGTCAGATCTACAGTAACCCAGACATTCTACACCGGCTCGAGGGTCATGGGCAGAGCGACGAATCATAGCAGTCCTTTCATCTGTTTGTTTAGCAGTCCTTTCATCTGTGTGTTCATCAGTTACTCTAGGTTGTGAACTCTTGACTGTTCCTGACATCTTGAAGAAGTTAGTTTGCCATTGTTTTGTGTGTGTGTGTGTGTGTGTGTGTGTGTGTGTGTGTGTGACAGTGACCATACTGGTCAGTTGGCCACGACCAGTCGAAGGCTCTGTAGTGTATAATCTGTGTGACAGAAAGCTGTGGACCACCTTCATCAACAACAGAACACAGTGTGGGCTATCAGAAGTGGTCAATTTATGTGATCATGCGCGATGGTGAAACATAACAGCCTATGCTTATTGGCATGGCATGTGACCTATGTTGCTTGCTGATTACGCTGGTTCTGTCACATCTGACTATTCAGAGCCACAGCTTAAAAATCATCGCTTGGAGAAAGCAACTTGCCTGCATCGATATGAGAAAGCAGCCGCCCCAGCCTGGTAGTTGTCAGGAAAGGCACGGGAAACATACACTGGAGAGAGTGTTGGCTGCTCTCAAGTCTCAGGAAAGGCACGGGAAACATCTACATGGAGAGAGTGTTGGCTGGCTCTCAAGTCTCAGGAAAGGCACGGGAAACATCTACCTGGAGAGAGTGTTGGCTGGCTCTCAAGTCTCAGGAAAGGCACGGGAAACATCTACATGGAGAGAGTGTTGGCTGGCTCTGGCATCACTCAAAACTCAGGGAAAGGTAAGACAAGTAGTTAACCAAATGTAGCGGAGAGTGTTAGCGGGCTCTGGCATCACTCAAGACTAAGGGAAAGTTAAGACAAGTAGTTAACCAGATGTAGCGGAGAGTGTTAGCTATCATCAAGACTCAGGGAAAGTCAGAAGTGGTCATACCATCTGTATACTGGCAGGTCCTGGATGTGTCCTGCATGCTTCTTCGACATTACAAATTGGGCACGCAGGTCCGTCTGACATTCGGCCCTTCTAAGCACTCATTTTTCAGAGTACCAAGGCAAGGCAATGAGCAACGGAACTTGTCATCTGACCTTGTGTGTCCTGCCCTAGAATAGGCTAACTTGCGTGTGGCTAGGGTCAGTGTGTGGATGCCAAGCATGATGGTACACAATGTACAGAGAGTTCATGTGCTTTGAATCCTTACATCGTAAATCTCATGCGTTGATTTACCTTATGGGCCGGTTTACAGCCCTGTTTCTTCCATGATTGGAGAGATTTTATGTGCCTTGTCTACCTATAGATGTTCATGCACTCTAGATGACCTTCCTGGTGCTTATTCTCTATCAGCAGATGCTTCATGTTATGACATCAGAACAGATACACACACATACATAAAAATAAATGCACGCAGAGAATTCCACATGCATTGATACATACACATATGGACACCCATAGATTCACTGACACACACTAATGCACATGTTAACACACATACAGGTATAAATGTGGACATACATTGACACATTCACACGACACTGACACACACTAATGCACATGTTAACACACATACAGGTATAAATGTGAACATACATTGACACATTCACACGACACACACACACAGGTACACACACAGAGAGACAGAGAGGAGAGAGAGCGGTCTACAGCTCAGCTGTACCACTAAATCACATTATCCATGTGATCACAGTCATTGACAGTTCACTCAGACTCCGCTAGATGATTCTGTGTTTCCTGGCCCATGATTGTTGGTTGTTTCTGTTCTGATTTCATCAGCTTTGTTTGTTTACGCTATCTGCATTGTATATTTAATTCTGAGTTGTGTTTCTATGATGTTTTATATTGTTTTTAACATGTTTCCTAAATTATAATATGTATCATATATACTTTATTTTATCTGTTTTCCAGTTTGAGTTTTTTGAAAAGTATTGTATACATATTGTATTCTGTTGAGTCTCCGCTAAATGGTTTAACCTGAAGGGAGTTTGTCCAGACCTGGTTACTGCCGTCAAGGCAAATAACTTGTTGGCGGCTTCCTGACAGAAACGGGACAGTTGCCGTTTGTGTGTGTGTGTGAGAGAGAGAGAGAGAAAGGGAGGGGGTGGGGAGGGGGTAGCGGCGGATGGCTGGGGAACACCTCAGAGCGGAACTGTGCCGGTGATAACGGGACATGGGACCCTAACAATAATGTTGTTAATGAGATGGTGGCCATACCTTCTGGTGACAGCCCGGTTCTAAAATGTTGTTAATGAGATGGTGGCCATACCTTCTGGTGACAGCCCGGTTCTAAAATGTTGTTAATGAGATGGTGGCCATACCTTCTGGTGACAGCCCGGTTCTAAAATGTTGTTAATGAGATGGTGGCCATACCTTCTGGTGACAGCCCGGTTCTAAAATGTTGTTAATGAGATGGTGGCCATACCTTCTGGTGACAGCCCGGTTCTAAAACAAATTGGGTGGACTGGTTGACGAATTAGAAATATGGAGGAGAACTGAACCTAAATACATCGCTGGCTGGATGATATGGTATACCAGTGTTGTCTGTGACAGCCATATTCTGCTGTACAAGTGACGATAGTTTCTGATGAGAATTGATGTGGTAATGTTGTCTCCACAGACAGATGCCTCAGTGCTACACGTGTTCTGCACATGCGCACACACATACATACATCCCAGCAGATATTAAAGCAAAGTATTTATTTTGGTGAAAAAATTTAAACCGATATGTGTTGGTTATTTTAACATGTATGTTGGTTGCGTGGATCGATGAGGTTAGTTATTTTAACATGTATGTTGGTTGCGTGGATCGATGAGTTGGTTATTTTAACATGTATGTTGGTTACGTGGATCGATGTGACTTGTCTGGACTATTTTGGTATGTGTGGCGCTTACTTCAACGTGAGCAAAGATCATACAAGTGTGGAACCTGACCTAACATCTCAGTGAAACCATTCTTAATATATCTCAATGTAACCACACTAAACATCTCAGTGTAAGGAGATCACAGTGACGTGGAACCAGACAAGGAGATTATGCCGGCGGGGAACCACACTAAACGACTCAGTATAAGTGGATCACAGTGACGTGGAACCAGACAAGGAGATTATGCCAGTGGGAAACCACACTAAACGTCTCAGTGTAAGGAGATCACAGTGACGTGGAACCAGACAAGGAGATTATGCCGGCGGGGAACAACACTAAACGTCTCAGTGTAAGGAGATCACAGTGACGTGGAACCAGACAAGGAGATTATGCCAGTGGGGAATCACACTAAACGTCTCAGTGTAAGGAGATCACAGTGACGTGGAACCAGACAAGGAGATTATGCCAGTGGGGAACCACACTAAACGTCTCAGTGTAAGGAGATCACAGTGACGTGGAACCAGACAAGGAGATTATGCCAGTGGGGAACCACACTAAACGTCTCAGTGTAAGGAGATCACAGTGACGTGGAACCAGACAAGGAGATTATGCCGGCGGGGAACCACACTAAACGTCTCAGTGTAAGGAGATCACAGTGACGTGGAACCAGACAAGGAGATTATGCCAGTGGGGAACCACACTAAACGTCTCAGTGTAAGGAGATCACAGTGACGTGGAACCAGACAAGGAGATTATGCCAGTGGGGAACCACACTAAACGTCTCAGTGTAAGGAGATGATACTGGCGTGGAACCAGACAAGGAGAGGATACCGTCTTGGAACCAGACACCGTCGGTCGAAGAGATCATACCAGTGTGCACCCGGTAAACATTCTTGGTGAAGTGATATCATGCGGGTGTGGAGCCAAGATTAAACCAGCTGTGAAAGGAGACAGGTTAAACTGGCGAAAATGTTAGTAGTATAAGAGACGCAAGAATATACACTGACGGCTAAGATCTAGAAGTGCCGTTGAATCGCCTGCTAGCAGGTGCACAGACTGCCACCCAGACACGATTGTTTGACAAGTGGAATGTTGCTGTGCCGCTGAAAAGCTCGATTGCCTGGACGTATTGAGGTTTGCGGCGTTCCGTTAGTCGTAGGTACACAGGCAGCCAACCGTGGCAGGGTACCTTTGTGAATGACAAACCGTTTGGCACCATTCCCATTGCGGGCCAGACTGGAAGGATCTTACTCAATAAGAAACCAAATTTAATATTATTTGAACCACTACTTCACAGGGTTCTCGGGTAACCTTTGCACTCAGACTCAAGTGGCTTTTATAGTTATTCAATGTTGTCCTGGTTTTAGCTTGTACTGCCAACTTCAGCTTGTACTCGATCACCTAACTTCCAACTTCAGCTTGTACCCAATCACCTTCATTGCCAACTTCAGCTTGTACCCGATCACCTTGACTGTCAACTTCAGCATGTACCCAATCACCTTGACTGCCAACTTCAGCATGTACCCGATCACCTTGACTGCCAACTTCAGCATGTACCCAATCACCTTCATTGCCAACTTCAGCTTGTACCTGATCACCTTGACTGCCAACTTCAGCTTGTACCTGATCACCTTGACTGCCAACTTCAGCTTGTACCCGATCACCTTCATTGCCAACTTCAGCTTGTACCCGATCACCTTGACTGCCAACTTCAGCTTGTACCTGATCACCTTGACTGCCAACTTCAGCTTGTACCTGATCACCTTGACTGCCTCTTTCAGCTCTATGATTGCTTTTTCCCCCTCCCTTGTATTTTCCCTTGCAAGCTGCTGCCTGCAGATGTGACACCCTGAGATTACACAATCTCAGTCTGGATGGTAGACCAGCATGGCAAATCTCAGATACCCCGTCCAACACCCGCATAAGGTATACCCCCGTCCAACACCCGCTTAAGGTATACCCCCGTCCAACACCCACATAAGGTATACCCCCGTCCAACACCCGCATAAGGTATACCCCCGTCCAACACCCACATAAGGTATACCCCCGTCCAACACCCGCATAAGGTATACCCCCGTCCAACACCCACATAAGGTATACCCCCGTCCAACACCCGCATAAGGTATACCCCCGTCCAACACCCGCTTAAGGTATACCCCCGTCCAACACCCGCATAAGGTATACCCCCGTCCAACACCCACATAAGGTATACCCCCGTCCAACACCCGCATAAGGTATACCCCCGTCCAACACCCGCTTAAGGTATACCCCCGTCCAACACCCACAGAAGGTCTATCTCCGTCCAACACCCGCGCAATGTATACCCCGTCCAACACCCACAGAAGGTATACCCCGTCCAACACCCACAGAAAGTATACCTCCGTCCAACACCCATAGAGTGAGGGGAGGTGTCTGCACTGTCCATAGAGTAAGGTGAGGTGTCCGCACTGTCCGTAGAGTGAGGTGCGGTGTCCGCACTGTCCGTAGGGTGAGAGGAGGTGTCCGAGTGAGGGGAGGTGTCCGCACTGTCCATAAAGTGAGGGGAGGTGTCCGCACTGTCCATATAGTGAGGGGAGGTGTCCGCACTGTCCATAGAGTGAGAGGAGGTGTCCGCACTGTTCATAGGGTGAGGTGCGGTGTCCTCACTGTCCGTAGGATGAGGGGGAGGGGGGGGGGTGTCCGCACTGTCCATAGAGTGAGGGGAGGTGTCTGCACTGTCCATAGGCTGAGAGGATGTGTCCGCACTGTCCATAGATAGAGGGGAGTTATCCGCACTGTCCGTAGAGTGAGGGGAGGTGTCCGCACTGTCCATAGGGTGAGAGGAGGTGTCCGCACTGTCCATGAGGTGAGGGGAGGTGTCCGCACTGTCCATGGAGTGAGGGGAGGTGTACGCACTGTCCATATTGTGAGGGGAGGTGTGCGCACTGTCCATAGAGTGAGGGGAGGTGTCCGCACCGTCCATAGGGTGAGAGGATGTGTCCGCACTATCCATAGGGTGAGAGGATATGTCCGCACTGTCCATAGAGTGAGGGAAGGTGTGCGCACTGTCCATAGAGTGTGGGGAGGTGTCCGCACTGTCCATATAGTGAGGAGAGGTTCCGCACTGTCCGTAGAGTGAGGGGAGGTGTCCGCACTGTCCATAGAGTGAGAGGAGGTGTCCGCACTGTCCATATGGTGAGGGGAGGTGTGCGCACTGTCCATAGAGTGAGGGGAGGTGTCCGCACCGCCCATAGGGTGAGAGGATGTGTCCGACCTGTCCATAGAGTGAGGGGAGTTGTCCGCACTGTCCATAGAGTGAGGGAAGGTGTGCGCACTGTCCGTAGAGTGAGGGGAGGTGTCCGCACTGTCCATAGGTGAGGGGAGGTGTGCGCACTGTCCATAGAGTGAGGGGAGGTGTCCGCACTGTCCATAGGTGAGGGGAGTTGTCCGCACTGTCCATATGGTGAAGGGAGGTGTGCGCACTGTCCGTAGAGTGAGGCGAGGTGTCTGCACTGTCCATAGGTGAGACGAGGTGTCCGCACTGTCCATAGGTAAGAGGAGGTGTCCGCACTGTCCATAGGGTGAGATATTAGGTCTCCATCGTCGTCAATGGCTTATGCGCTACGAACGCGCTTAGTAATGCCAGGCTGTCGGGTTCGATCCTAGCTGCAACCGATTTGACAGCAGACCGCCTTACGTTGGTTTTGACAGTGGTATCGAGAGCCGACCCTTGGGAGCAAGGGCAAACTACCAAACGTATATTTGCTTAGAAAACCAACCCCAAAAAAGCTGGAGTTGCTGTTCTGTTGTACCAGTCGTCAGAGTAGTATTTATGTCTGTCTGCGACCGTGTGTCGTGGAGGCCTAGAGACGTTGGCACAGGCTCTAGTAATTATGTCTGTCTGCGACCGTGTGTCGTGGAGGCCTAGTGACGTTGGCACAGGCTCTAGTAATTATGTCTGTCTGCGACCGTGTGTCGTGGAGGCCTAGTGACGTTGGCACAGGCTCTAGTAATTATGTCTGTCTGCGACCGTGTGTCGTGGAGGCCTAGAGACGTTGGCACAGGCTCTAGTTAGTTATTATGTATATTTTATTGGTGACCCGAAGAGTGGGCACATAACCGAGGTTTTTATGAAAGGCTACCGGTGACCCCAGGAGCGGGCCCGTAGGCAGGGTTAGTTGAGAGAGTGCAGTGTGCTCAGTTTGTCTTGGTTGACGATGTTTGGTGTCGTTCACTACGGGAACAAGGCAACCGATTCTTCTTACGAGCAATGACCCTCGTTGATGTCGGCTATCGTCTGTGTGCTGACTGATGGAACTCAAATTTGGTGAGTTCAGCCGGTCATCGTAGAATTCCTCGACGTGGCTGACTTGCTGTGTACATATTGTGGAACAGAAGTATTTTAGAGGTTTCCAGTCAACCAATGTGAAAGTGTCTGTTACTGAGGGTAGCAGCGAAGGTCAAGCTGAGTTTGTTAGATGGAGCTTGTTCATTCTGACTGCTAGCCCTGACGTGAGGGTTAGCCAGCCACCAGGCGCTGAAGCGGGCAGCTCAACAGTTCTGATTGACAGCGAGTGTAGGCTGTATTATGAAGCTCCGATGGAACAGTTTGGAGAATACGGAGCTCAAGTGGTTAGTCCCTGTTAGCCATCGAGAATTATGAAACAGGTACTTGGACCTTAGGCGCATGTGCCACCCCTCGTTTAGCATACAACAGACACACAACTAATCGGATACCATCACGTGATCTAGGCTACATTATCAAAAGTTGCCGTCTTTCCTTCTAGACATTATTTTTAACGTGTCTGGCACTACTATTATGAGACACCAGATGTCACTAGGCTCTATAAAAAAAGCAGCCAAAAAAAAATAACCCTATAACCAACCATGCATGACATTAAATGGTGACTAGGAGAGGTCAACGCGACACTGACTGCCATGTGCAACCAATCGCGGAAGTATACAAGCACGTTTGCCTTAGTTAGCTGAGGGCATGAGCTCCAGTTGCAGACGATAGGCACAACCAGAAGAATGGTGCCAGGCCGAAAAACCCCGGTACCTCAATTATTCGGTTTATGCGAACACTGCTGGACATTGAGTCCGGACCACAGTTTCCACAAGTTGACCACTAGGCAACCATGGAAATTAGATGTCTGAGAAGGGCTGTGGGAGTGACCATAAGAGATAAGATCAGGAATAAGATCATAAGAGAAAAAGTCGGCACAGAACCAATTCCAAATTACATACAAAGACAGCAATCGAAATGGTTTGCCCACTTAGAGAGAATGCCTTGTGACACCATACCATACAAAGCATACATGGAAAGAGAAGAAGGACGTAGAGCACGAGGTAGACCAAGAACAACATGGAAGGATAACATCATAGAAACTACAACAGCACGATGTGCCTATGGTCGAGAGGGCCAGAAGAGCTAGAGACATAACCTTATATCTCCCTCGACACCCACAGCGGTAAAAGAGGAAGTGAAGAAGAAGAAGAAGACCACTAGGCTGCAATAAAACAATAACAACTATAAACCAGTGTAACAGACTAGAGGGATATGTTTAGCCTGTTAATAATTTGGGTTCGGCTACGCTTGCGAACTAAAAAAAAAGCACCTGTAGTTGGGGCACATGGACTGGCTATGCGCTGCCTGTGTAGTTATATGTTGTAGTTGTTGTAGTGTAATTCACTGTTCACATATTCATTGCCCGAGCCATGAGTGATATGTCATGTTTCCTACACCAGAAAACCGCTTGACTTTACTTATCCTGTTTGTTCATTCCAGCGGGGAACAACTTATTGACCTAACCACATTTCTTTTCTCGTCTCATTAGTTGTTTTTCTTTTTTCTTTCTGGCTAGCTTAGGAGGAGGAAGGTCGACTTTAACGCATCGGGTTTTTATCCTATATGGCTCGATCTTTCCTCAGAATGACTCTTTGCCTTTCGCTGAAAGTGTCGCCCAAAGTATGAACTCCCTAGCTAGGGCGATTATTCAAGGATTGCACTTATGAAACGAAACCTTTCGAGCTGGAGGGAAATTGTAAAACCAGGTAGGGTCCAGACAAAACAGTTCTGCCACAAAACGACCGGAAAGAATATAAAACGCAGTATGAGGCACACCAGTTATAAAGAAGTGCTACACAAGCAGGAAGAACAAGGTGGGAACGTGTTTTCAACACCCTGCCGGAACGAAGTGCAACAAAGCGAGATGTTTCAAGACGTTTCAGTACAAAAGATGGCCGACACTGAAATACGTCCGACTTATTTAAACAGTGCGCCGGCCATTATAATGACAATGGTATCCTATTGGGCGATGAATTTAAAAGTCAACGAATGAACAGAATTAGTCTTAAGTGTGACATATTTTTGGAAGCGGTTAAACAACTCATGAATCAAAGCCAAAGATGGCAGTCAGATAAACGGCTACCACAGAATAACAATACGACAAGCTCTGGTGTGTGACATCAAGTATTTTATAATCTCTCCCAACTACGCACACTGGCTACACACCTGGGGTTTAGATAGCATCTTTGAGGCGATGTTCTGAATGTATCCTTCTAAGTGTGCACAACATGTATGCTGGTGATCTATCAGAGGTATTCATGCTGGTGTGAGAACATGGACGGCGGTGATCTATCAGAGGTATTCATGCTGGTGTGAGAACATGGACGGTGGTGATCTATCAGAGGTATACATGCTGGTGTGAGAACATGGACGGCGGTGATCTATCAGAGGTATACATGCTGGTGTGAGAACATGGACGGTGGATCTATCAGAGGTACTGGTGTGAGAACATGGACGGCGGTGATCTATCTACATGTGGTGTGAGATGGACGGCGGGTGATCTACCAGAGGTATACATGCTGGTGTGAGAACATGGACGGCGGTGATCTATCAGAGGTATACATGCTGGTGTGAGAACATGGACGGCGGTGGGTGGATCTGATCTATCAGAGGTATACATGCTGGTGTGAGAACATGGACGGCGGTGATCTATCAGAGGTATCATCTGAGAACATGGACGGCGGTGATCTACAGAGGTATCATGCTGGTGTGAGATGGACGGCGGTGATCTATCAGAGGTATTCATGCTGGTGTGAAAACATGGACGGCGGTGATCTATCAGAGGTATTCATGCTGATGTGAGAACATGGACGGCGGTGATCTATCAGAGGTATACATCCTGGTGTGAGAACATGGACGGCGGTAATCTATCAGAGGTATACATACATGGACGGTGGTGATCTATGGTGTGAGAGAACATGGACGGCGGTGATCTATCAGAGGTATACATGCGGGTGTGAGAACATGGACGGCAGTGATCTATCAGAGGTATTCATGCTAGTGTGAGAACATGGACGGCGGTGATCTATCAGAGGTATACATGCTGGTGTGAGAACATGGACGGTGGTGATCTATCAGAGGTATTCATGCTGGTGTGAGAACAGGGACGGTGGTGATCTATCAGAGGTATACATGCTGGTGTGAGAACATGGACGGCGGTAATCTATCAGAGGTATACATGCTGGTGTGAGAACATGGACGGCGGTGATCTATCAGAGGTATTCATGCTGGTGTGAGAACATGGACGGCGGTGATCTATCAGAGGTATACATGCTGGTGTGAGAACATGGACGGCGGTGATCTATCAGAGGTATACATGCTGGTGTGAGAACATGGACGGTGGTGATCTATCAGAGGTATACATCCTGGTGTGAGAACATGGACGGCGGTGATCTATCAGAGGTATACATGCTGGTGTGAGAACATGGACGGCGGTGATCTATCAGAGGTATACATCCTGGTGTGAGAACATGGACGGCGGTGATCTATCAGAGGTATACATGCTGGTGTGAGAACATGGACGGTGGTGATCTGATCTATCAGAGGTATACATCCTGGTGTGAGAACATGGACGGCGGTGATCTATCAGAGGTATACATGCGGGTGTGAGAACATGGACGGCAGTGATCTATCAG